CACATTCGTTTTCGTGTCAGCCGGGCCCCAGAAATTTTCATTCAAATGGCGCTCACAAAGTGCATCCAAGCGTATTGCTTTGCTGTGCACTTACTTTGCGCGCGCAGCTAAGAGGCTTTCCTTCGAAGAGACGCGGGGGAAACGTAGAGACTGCGTGGGAAAAAAATGATGAGGGGAGGGGGGGCGCGGGAGAAAGCAGCGGGGGGGAGGGAAAAAGGATCACTCTAGAGGCTCTCTAGGAGAAGGTCGATCTGCATACGATTCCACTTTGGACCCCCTGCCACATCGAAACGTGGCAGATCTTCTTGGATTTCCTGCTGAATGCTTATTGCCGATCCAGGACGCGGCTTTCGGCGACCGCCATGAATATTTCCTCGACTGAAACATGGCGGGGATGAGGGAGGAGGTTCAAGCAATGGTGCGTTGGATGACAAACGGGGGAATATTTGCGACGAGGGTTCAGAACGCTGGATAATGCGTTTTTCATATCATGATCATCGAACACATAAGACTTTACTAAGTGTGCGGGATTCTTGAGTAACGTAGGTGATTAGGGGGGAAGGCAGGGCCTATTTCGATCCGACCGATCCGATTCGATGTCGGCTTTGGCTGGCCCGATTCGATTTGATGCCGGTTTCGGGGTCATTCGATGCGGCCCGATGCATGCGTGTCGCAGTTATGCATGATCGCGCCGCCCGTTTGTTTCGGTCCTGGTTCCGAACCGATGCGGTCCGATCTGATACACGTTCCGATCCGATGTGGTTTCCTAATCCGATGTTGATTGTTTTTGGGGGATGACGATGGAAGAGGAGGAGGAGCGAGGTCCAATACTGGTGAGGTTTCGGGGTCCCTCCTCCATAGGCCTCCTTTTTTCTCCTCCTCCCACTTGACTGCTCTGGAGTTGTTGGGCTGTGGGAATTGGGGCACCAGGAAACTATTTTCACCACCGTGCCTGGCCATATCTATCCTGGGCTTCAGGATGATGTATAGATGCTCCGAGTCTTTGCCAGGGGTGCGCATGCCTGGCAGGGCCCAGGATGGCCTTGACCAGGCACGGTGGTGGTGCACAGATGCTTCCCGCTTAGCGGAGGCGCTCGACGGGTTTGCTGGATCACGCCGCGGCCAGATCAGGGCCGCTGGCTCCAGGCAGGCCGCGGTGCCCAGCGAGGGAGAGAGAGGGAGAGAGAGATTCACAAGAGAGAGAGAGAGAGAGAAAAAAAAAAGATAGAGAAAGAGGTGTTGCCCTGAAGGGAACGAGGAAGATCCATAGGTTTTGTATTTTCGATCGGAGTTTTGCACGCGTTTGTCAAAGTAGCAAGCGGCGCAAACATAAACATTCGAAATTCCGTGCGGATTTCTTGGACTTGCGTTGGACGCCAGGGAGGTCCAGCGCCGATCCAAGAAACCCGCTCAGACCTCCGAACTCGTCGAACGCTATGTTTGTGCCAATTCTTGTTTCCTCCAGTCTGGCCCTCGGGATGCCCCTAGGAGGGCTCCGGGGACCATCGAGGAGGGGCTCAGGGGACCTCCCGGGGGGCCTCTGGAGTATTCCCAGAGAGTGGCGCTTCTGCCACGTGGCCGCGGCGTGTGCCGCCCCGGAGCAGCGATATGCCAGCTGCTCCCCCTCCTTTTGAAGGCCCTCGTCCTAGGCCGCCCAGACGGGGTCGGAGTAGGTGGGTCGGAGGATCGCACCGCATCGCCGACGCATCGGCGACGCGGTTCCATGTGGAGACCGAAGTTCCCCACTCAGACGTCGCCGATGCATCGCCGATGTCGCCGGTGCATCGCTTGCGCATCGCTGATGCGTCGGTGACGCATCGGCGATGCATCGGTGATGCGGCGCGATCCTCCGACCCCGACTGAGAGGCCTCTGCTTGCGACGCGGCCGCAGGGCCCTCTGCCGCGCCCACGGCAGCGCGCCGGGGTCGCCTCGCGGTCTGGCACCACGGCCTTCACGAGCAGCCTCCTGTCTGAGAGCTAACCCCGCGAACAAGTGCGGCGTCGTGAGCAGCACGGCCAGAGCCCTGGGACCCGCTCTTCCGCGGCACCTTCCAGGCCAGATCGCTCCGTGAGGGTCCGGGGAGCTGCACGCGGGCGCTCACGCCCGGGGGCGAAGGACATCTGCGGCGCCCGGGCCTCCGGGGATGTCCGGCCCCCCTCCCAAGCGCGCGTGGCAGGCGGACCGCGGACGCGCTTCCTCCGTGCCCCGCCCTCTCCGAGCCTGATCCTCTTCGTGGCTGCGGCTTCCACGCCGTGCCCTCCCGGACACGGGTGGGCTCCCCGCGGGAGCGCGCGCGCCTCCGGCGTTTCTCCTCCCGCCTCTCCCCTCCTCCGCTCCGCAGCCGCGTCGGCTCGGGGTCCTTCCCCTGACCTTCCAGAGAGTTTTTGTTCAGCACTGGAGGCCTAAAAACTTTTAAAAAAAAAAAACTGAGCGAAGCGCCTTAAAACCAAGACGTAGAATAGCTTTGGGATTGGTTTTTTGGTCGGGTGCTCTTTTTTAGCCCTCCTGGAAGGTCAGGGTCGGGACTTCGCAACGGGGGGGGGCACAGAGGGGGGGGGGAGTTCGGTCCGTTGGCGCATCGAACCGCAGAAGAGCGATGCAATGCAAAGCGAGGTCTCCGGCCGCCGCCGGAACCCGAGAGGCGTCGACAATCGGGGCGCGCGGGGGGCATCGTTTTTCGGAAGTTCGATGCACCAGCGGATCGAACTCCCCCCCCCTCAGGGTCCCCCCCCCTTTGGTGGACCCCGAGTCCTGCCAGGATCGGGGTCGCGCTCGGTACTGCCCCGAGATCCTGGCGCCTCCATGTCTTCGAGCCAGGCGTTTTCTCGCCCAGCCTCGGGCGCCGGGGCCCTCACAGAGCGCTCCGGCTCGGAGAAGGGCGCAGGAAGACGGTAAGGGGGGCCCCCAAACGGTGTGACACCGTGTGGTGAGTCGGTGTGGATTCGGGGTCACCGCACGGTTGTGGGACTCGAGCCCCTCTCCGAGGATGGCTCAGGCGACAGGGGCCTCCAGGGCCCCAAAACCGTGTGGTGAACCGTGCGGTGAGGTCTTGGGGGATTTCGAGGTCACCGCACGGTCCGTCACCGCACCGTTTCGGGACTCCAAGGGTGGGGTCCGGGGCTCCGATCGTGACTTCTCCCGGTCGCATTTTCTTCTCAAAGTCGCATCTCAGGGCACGTTGGCGGCGCGCGCTGGAGACGAAGGGGTTGGCGCCGAGTGGGGCGGCGGACCTCTGAGAGAAGGCCAGGAGGGCTCTTCAGAAGGCTTCTTGAAGGCAGTGTTGGGCGGAGATCCAGCGGCTGGCTCGCTCACTGCACTCTGAGGCCTGCAACGCCTCAGGAGCCTCCGATGGAGTCACCCATAGCAGGAGTTCTTGCGAGGTGGCCTGCTTGCGAGCGACTGCCAGAAGGCTTCTTGAAGGTCGGGTCCGAGGGCCTCCGATCCGTCCTTCGACTCGCGCTGGAGCGGTCGCGCGTTGCTCCGACTTTCACCCTGGAGATCTCTGGACGTACATGGATGTACCCGGATCTCCTCTCGGTGTGCCTGGATTTGCCGGGATGCGCCTCGATTCGTCTGCGCCTGCCTGGATTCCTCTGGCTCGATCCCCACGAGTCGATGGGCGAAACGCCGACGAGCCCTCGGGGATCCGAGCAGCCCTGGCTGCCTCCGGCAGAGGGCCGTCCTCCCGTGTACCGCCCCCTCCACCTCGGGAGGACGCGTCTGCGCCCGCGCGCCGACCCCGGCCAGGCCGACCCTGGGCCCAGGAAGTCGGTGCTGGTGTGCTGGTGTGCGTGCGTGCGTGCGTGCGTGCGTGTGCGTGTGCGTGTGCGTGTGCGTGCGTGCGTGCGTGTGCGTGTGCGTGTGCGTGTGTGTGTGTGTGTGTGTGTGCAGGGGTGGACCAAAACGGCGTTTGGGCGATTTCGTGGGCCGTTGTCGTTTCGGCTGCGTTTTGCGGTAGAGGCGGATTCGAGACAGCACCGAGTGAAAACGAAAGCAAAACGACAACGAAAAACACCGTGTGTGTGTGTGTGTGTGTGTGTCCTGGCGAAGTCTCAAGTCGGGATGGTCCCTCTAGAGGAGGAACATTCAAGGTAGTCAAAAGCAGGATTCAGAGTAGTCAAGCATGGTCAGAGGGCGATGGCTTGCTTTTTCTGTTCTGTTGCACTACTTGTTTTGCCTTTTCTTTTTTAGCTTTTCGCCCGAAACCCGCCCGTGGGAGGACGTGCCCGGCCCAGGCCACGCCGGGGGAGGCGCGTGCACGCGGACCGTCGAGGGGCCCGAAGACTGGAGGGGCGCGCTGTGCGCACTGCTGGCGCCCTCCGATGGGCCTCCCCCCCCCCTCCTGCTGGCTCCCCCCCCCCAGGCCCCAGCCCCCTCTCGGGGCTCGTTTCGACTCCTCCGCCTCGACTGGATTCGATATCGATCGATTCCGCTTCCGATTCCCTATTCCGGTGTTCGATTCGGCTTCGGATTCCGATTTGGGTTTGGGTTTTCAGTGGAGGCCTCACCAGCCTGCCGATGTTGGCCGATTCGACTTCTTCCGACTCGGCTGCCGGTTTCCGCCGACCCGATTCATTTCGATCGCCGATCCGACTTATCGATTCGATTCTGGTCTCTCCTGCCACTTGCCCTGAGACCCGACGCCGCCGCGAGAAAAATGCGACACCGTGGAAAGTCACGACCTGAACCCTAGACCCCACATTTTTCTGCGGCTGTTTTGCGGGTCAGATCGACATGTGTGAGGGTCCTGGGGCCGCACAGTGCGCGCAGACGCCTGGTTCAAGTGAATCGAGGCTCCAGGATCTCAGGGAGGGGCGCTGCAAGCCGCGGACCAACGCAGAGGGTCGTCGAGGGTCCCCGAGGACCGTCGAGGGTCGGGGGTCGTCGAGGATCGAGGGATCGTCGAGTATCGAGAGTTCGCTGAGGATCGTCGAACGCAGGGCGCCGCGGCAGGTACTGGCCGTCCCTGGGGCGCCCCGCGGCGGGCCGCGCCGGGAGCATGCCGGGCGGCTTGCGCCCCGCCGCGGCGCTCGCCGCGGCCGCGCCTGTTGCCGCGGCGGCCGCGGGGGCCGATCGGGCGCGCGGCCCCTGGCGGCGGCCGCAGCGACTGCGTCGTCCAACGCTCTCCCCTCGATCTCCTCCGCTCCTCCTCCGCCCCCCCGATCTCCCCCTCCCCCCTCCTCCTCGACCCCTCCCCTCCCCCCTCCATCGGCCTCCTTCCCTGCCCCCTCCTCCCTCGGCCTCCCCCCCTCCTCCTCGTGCTCAGAGGTCCGGGGGAGGGGAGGGGGCGCCACCCCTCGGCTCCTCCCTTTTCTGGTGGCTCCCTTCCTTCACCCCGCCAAAATCCGTGAGCGAGGGGGCTGCTGGGACGCGGGGCGAGGGGGGGAGCGTCAAGACCCCAGCACGCCAGGGGCTGGCGCATCCCGCCCCCCGCCCGAGGGGCAGATGGCCAGCCCCCGCGCCAGGATCGCCTGCCGCTCGTCCCCGAGCCCCGAGGCCCTCCTCGACCCCTCCCCCTCCTCCTCCTCGACCCCTCCTCCTCCTCCCTCCTCCCTCCTCCCTCCTCCCTCCTCCTCGACCCCTCCTCCTCCCCCCCTCCTCCTCGACCCCTCCCTCCCTCGGCCTCCTCCCCGCCCCCCCTGCCTCGGCCTCCTCCCCCCGCTCCCTCCTCGTGCTCGGTGGCTCCCGGGGACGGGGGGGGGGGGCGACCCCCCAGGCGGGGAGGCCGCCGAGCCTCCCAGAGGAGGGCCCCCCCCCGCGCGTTCCTGGCGCTGCAAGTTTCTCGAGCCCGGAGTTTTGGCCCTATGTCGGGCCCGGGGGCCCTCACAGTTGGCAGCGCGCAGGGGGGGGTAGAGGGAGGGGGGAAGGCTTCTTGGAAGGAGGCTGCTTCCTAGAAGGCGCGGGCCCTGTCTGTAGATGGAGGCTGCTTCTTAGAAGGTGCGGGCCCTGTCTGTAGATGTAAGGCCCGCGCCTTCTGAGAAGCAGCCTCCTTCCAAGAAGCCTTCCTCCCTCCCCCTCCCCCCTTCCCCTATCGATCTGGGGTCGAAAAAACGACGCAGAAAGATTGTGTCCAGGGCTCCGGTCGTGATCTTTCACGACGTTGTCTTTTTTTCCGCTATGTCGGCTTTTCAGGGGCGTCAGCGACGGCGGCGGCGTCGACGTCGTCTTTGGGCGCTTTTCTGTGGCGTTTCTGGGGCTTCTTGCCGCTGGAGCTGAACGCGGTTGGAACAACTTGCCATAATGGACCCTTGGGAGGGGTTCGACCCACCCGTGCGAGAGGCAACTAGCAAGTGGCGTTTTTGTGCACACCTCCCCCTCCTGATGTCAACGTTCAATGCGGTGCCCCTTTTTCCCCGTAGCCTCGCCAGTCGCGCGCTCAACATTGAAATGGGTGTGCCAGGGGGCTGGCCGAACACCAGTTACCTTTCGCACTGGGTTGGGGGATGGATTTTGAGCGAATCCTGAGGTGTCGGCAGGGATACCGATGCCGACAGACCCTTCCCTCGTGTTCGCTGCTCTCGGCCTCCTGGGGGGTCCCTCGTCGCCGGGGCCGCGTTGCCGGGTTCGCCTCTGGATCCTGGCCAGACAGCGACCCCGGGAGAGGCACACCTGAGATCCGCCGTCTCGAAGAAGTTGAGACAAAGGTGGGGCGAGGGGGGACGGCCTCCTACGGGGGTCAATGCAAACGGCGGTCGGCCAGAGAGGCTGGATCCTGCAGGATCTTGCAGGGCCAGGGTCGCATTGGACCAGGCTTGGGTGCAGGATCGTGCAGGATCCTGCAAGGCCTGACTCACCCGGGTCTGGATTGACCCAAGTCAGAAGATCCCCGAAACAGAGGCCCTCCTGCCTTCACGGGGCCTTCTGCAAGGTCCCCCTTGCCTCCACAGAGAGGTCCGCCGCCCCACGCGGCGCCAGCCCCCTTGTCTCCTGCACGCGTCGCCGACGTGCCCAGAGATCCGACGCAGCGAAACACTTGCAACGTCGAGATCGTTTTCTCCTTCATTGTTTTGCCGATCGGCGCGGGCCCTCGCACCCCCACTCCCCCCGCCGCCCCCTCCACGGAGTAGATCTTGGCTGTTTTCGGCGCCTGTCTCAGGCAGGCGGAGTCTCCCCCACAGGGCGCCCTGTTGCAAGCTGTCGCGCTGAGCAGAGGTCGGGAGCCAGACCCCCTCCCTCCCCCCCCTTCCGCCCAGTGTCGAAACGCCGAGTAAGAAAAGGCTCACAAAATCATGACTGGAGCCCTGCAGCCGTCCGCCACCGTCCCCATCTCACTGCGCCATTTTGCGAGCCGGACCGGCATGTGAGGGCCTCGGGGCCCGAACCTAAGGGCGAACAAGCGCCGGGCCCGAAGAGGTTGAGGCGCCAGATCTCAGGGGCCTGCGGGGCCCTCGTCGCCACGGCAGGGTTCGCCTCGGGATTCTGGCCAGAGCGCGCCCCAGGAGAGGGGGGAGGAGCAGGAGGAGGAGGAGGAGGAGGAGGAGGAGGAGGAGGAGGAGGAGGAGGAGGAGGAGGAGGAGGATCCCGGGGCGCCATATACGCCGATCCTGGCCAGGCCCCTCGCGGGCCTGGGATCGGCGTATGTGGCGTTCTGGCCGAGCCAGGGGAGCGCATGCACAAACCCTGAGCCCACGTTCAGCCTGGCCAGGCTCGGTGCATGTGCACAGTCCTCTCTCTTTTCTGGCTGGCAGGGCAGGGAGCGGCGGCATCGGCGTTACCGTTTGCCAGCCCCCCCCCCCCCAGGCGAGGGCGCGCAACCTCACCCCCTCCAGCTTGGCCGCGCGCCGCTTCGCCCGCTGCGCGCTGAACTCGCGCGGCGGGGGCGCCCGCACGCTGCTGCGCTGGAACGGCGTGGGGCTCGTCCACATATTCAAGGGCCTGTTTTTTTACTTGGTACGGTAGGTTCGCGTCGTGTCGACCGGCGGCGACCCCGCCGAGGGCGTTCAAGGTTGAACGCCGCCAGTGGGCCCGAATCGGCTTACGTATATGGAACGATCGGGCGGTCGAAAAGCCGCCGATCGTTCAAGGTTGAACGATTCACGCAGTGTCAGAAACCAACGCCGGGGTCGTCACGACACGAACCTGCCGTATCGCAGTGGCGGACGCTACCTGGGGGAGGGAGGGAGCCAGACGTCGAAGAAGAACAACCGCCATAAACATACACTTTTTGGCGCTCCGGGCGGATTTCTCGGATCTGCGCTTGGGCCCCCCCCTGGCGGCGCCTCCAGCGCCGCCCTTGGCGCGCTCCGCGCGACAGGGAGGGGGGTCCAGCGCAGATCCAAGAAATCCGCGCGGAGCGCCACAAGTTTACGTTCATGGCGTTTTTCTAAGACGTGCTCGCGCTCTGAAAAAATCGAGGCGGGATGTGTTTGGCCGTTTTGGGCCTGTGGGGGCCCTCACTGGGCCCCGCGACCGTAAAACAATAAATTAGGTATGAAAAATTGTCCCTGGCAAGTGGTCGAGTTGTCGGGGGCCTTTGTCTCGAAGAATCGAGACGCAGGATGTTTGGATAACGGCCGTTGCCTGGGGGGAGGGGAGGGGGCGAGGGGCCAGTAACGCCACGATTCGGCTGGCGCCGTCTGGGAGTTACGCACCCCTGTAGCCTCTAGCCATTCCCAAACGGCGCGGGCGCGAGCCGTGATGTCACCATGTAGGGGAAGGGGAGGAGCATTCCTGGTAGCGACCGTTGTTGCGCATCGTAAGAAAACGCGCTCCAAGAACGCCGGCACCGCGATCTGCGACCTCGTCTCGGGCGTTGCGCAATGGGGGGGCGATAAATGGGAGGGTGAAGACAGGTGCACCTCTTCTGCGCCAAGGGGGTCCTGAAGGGGCCCCCCTGGGGCCCCAAAGGGGCCCCCCTGGGGCCCCAAAGGGGCATGAGAGGTTCAGATTTCCCCCCCTGAGATCCGACGCTTTAAACAAGTTGAGACATCCAGAAAAATTCGAGTAGGGGATCGACTACAGAATTGATTTACTACCCTCCAATTGATTCCCCATCGAATCTACGACGAAAATATGGAATTTCGATTGAGAATTTCAGATGTTCCCTGGAAAATTCGACGAGAGAACTAATTCGGGGGTAAATCAATTCTGTAGTCGATCCGCCGAGCCCTGGACCCCATCTTTCTGCACCATCCCTCGACCGGACCTCGAACCTGTGAGGGCCCCTGGGCGCCCGAGTCTGGGCGAGAACGCCACGCAACAAAAACACGTGGAGACGCCAGGACCTCGGGGCCTGCGGGGCCCTCGCCGCCACGGCAGGGACTCGCTACGGCAGGGGATGCTGGCCAGAACGCGCCCCAGGAGCGGGAGGAGGAGGAGGAGGAGGAGGAGGAGAGGAGGAGGAGGAGGAGGAGGAAGATCACGGCCTACCACGAGGCAGGAAGAGGGAGGAGGGAAGAGGGAGGAGGAGGAGGAGGAGGAGGAGGAGGAGGAGGAGGAGGAGGAGGAGAGGAGGAGGAGGAGGAGGAGGAGGAGGAGGAGAGAGGAGGAGGAGGGAGGAGGAGGAGGAGGAGGAGGAGGAGGAGGAGGAGGAGGAGGAGGAGGAGGAGGAGGAGGAGGAGGAGGAGGAGGAGGAGGAGGAGGAGGAGGAGGAGGAGGAGGAGGAGGAGGAGGAGGAGGAGGAGGAGGAGGAGGAGGAGGGGGAGGAGGAGGAGGAGGAGGAGGAGGAGGATCCCGGGGCGCCAGGCATCGCCCCCCCCCTCCCCACTGCGCAACGCCCGATCGTTGTGCGCAGCGGGGGCCGCGTGCTCTCCACCTCGCGCGACGCCGCGTGCGCGCCGCCCGGCGCCGCCCGCTCCCCGCGCACCTCGCCGCGGCGCCTCGAGCGGGCGCTGCGGGAGTCGCGCCTTCCGTTGGCCGCCCTGGTGCGGGACCCGCTGGCGCGGGCTTTGTCGGCCTACCACGAGGCAGGGAAGAGGGAAGAGGGAGGAGGGGAGGAGGAGGAGGAGGAGGAGGAGGAGGAGGAGGAGGAGGAGGAGGAGGAGGAGGAGGAGGAGTTACGGAGTTACGGATATTGCGACTATGTCGGTTACGTATATGTTTGTAAGGTGCCGCTCTTCTGGCCTTCTCAGCTTTACTGTAAGCTTTAGGCCAGATCCCCCGCTCAATATTCCTAAGACAATCTACACGATTACCTGCAGGCCTGCCTTCGCACCTCCTTCCGAGTTGGGCCAACTGTTGGGCCGCAAAACATCCGCAGGTACCGCAGAACCAGATCCCCAGCCCAGCGTGAAAGTGTAACATGTGAGTTTCATCAGCCCACCCCCCACAGACGTGCACCCTGCAACGGGGGGGCGGCCTGAAACTTACGCCATCTATAGCCTCAGGTCAAAGCATGGGGTATCCAACCAATTCTTTCGCCTAGCTTGGGTCGTAGAGCTCCTACACTGTAGACAGGAGAGCTTGCTACCAGATAACGTATGCACTGTGGAAAACTCATTGCACACCACAGGGGCTGGCGGCCTGGGCCCAGGATTCCTAACTCGGGTTCCTCGGGGCTCCTCTGTCGCCAGGGCCTGCTCAGCTTTTAAAGTTTCTAAGGTGGCCAACAGCATTCTCATGCGGACGGCGAAAGCCATGCTTTCACTCGTGAAAACCTTTTTCCTGATGTCTGCAAGGGTGCGGACAGCTCTGGCAGCAGCTTCAGCTAGCTTGTCTGCTGCCGCGTTCCCCACAGTCAAAAACAGAGGGGCTCTACCTTGGACGACGTCCCGAGCCTCTTGATGAGAATGAACAAAAAGGACCGTGCAACACAACTCTGGCTTTCTCTTTAGAACCTGCCCTATCTGGTGCCACAAATCCGCGTTCTCCCCATCAGGGGCGAAAGCTCGGTCATAATACCATCCTGAACACACTAGAATTATATGTGGTATGTATCACAACCCCATCGGCGCCGATCAGCGCAGACAGGAAACTGTAAAGCTCACCCCTGGCTACAGTCTGCTGGGGACCTGGCAAGGCCCCCCCCCACAGACGCCACCAGCTGCATATTCTCGGAAATATCAGAATACTGTGCTATGCCGCATCCCACTCTACGGAGCCGAGGGTCGCTGGTATCTTCGCCCCCGCTGGCATCTCCAAAAAGGCAGACAGGGGCTGAAACCGAGAGGAGGAGGAGGAGGAGGAGGAGGAGGAGGAGGAGGAGGAGGAGGAGGAGGGAGGAGGAGGGAGGAGGAGGAGGAGGAGGAGGGGGAGGAGGGAGGAGGAGAGGAGGAGGAGGAGGAGGAGGAGGAGGAGGAGGAGGAGGAGGAGGAGGAGGAGCGGGGGAGGGGGAGGGGGAGGAGGAGGAGGAGAAGGGGGAGGACGAGGAGGAGGAGGAGAAGGAGGAAAAGGAGGAGGAGGAGGAGGAGGAGGAGGAGGAGGAGGAGGAGGAGGAGGAGGAGGAGGAGGAGAGAGGAGTGGGGGAGAGACGGCCAGAGGGACCAGGAGGGGTGGAGACTGCACGAGTGCGAGGGCTCATCTCCGACTTTCGGAGAAGAGAAAGCGCCATAAACCAAAACTTTTGGCGCTCCGCACGGATTTCTTGTATCCGCGCTGGGCCCCTCCCGGCGGCGCCTCCGGCGCCGCCCCTGGCGCACATCCAAGAAATTCGCGCGGACCGTCGAAGGTTTAATGTTTATGCCGTTTTCTCTTCCTCTAGACTCCGCCGATTCCGACGCCGATTCCGAGTTCGAGGGCGTCCGCTGCCGATTCGATCCGACCCCGGTGTCCGATGCGGGCTTCGGCGTCCTCATAGAGGCCTTGCTGCAGCCTGCCGATTCCTGCCGATTCTCCTTTCTCCAGACCTGGCGTCTGACTCTCGCCGCTCCGATTCCTTGCGGTCGCCGACCCGACTGGTCGAGTTCGATGCTGGGTTGTCCTGCCAGGTGATGAAGCGCGGCTGCGCCTCCCGCGCCCCCGAGGCTCCGGGGAAACATTGGGGGTCAGGGTCGGGGGGGTGGGGCGACCCCTCATCGCCCACTCATCGCAGATAGGGGACCGACGGCCCACCCCGCCCAGGTAACGTGCGGATTCGCCACTCAGGTGCCCATCGCCAACTTGTCGGCGAGGCATCGCCGACGCCAGGTCGTTGACCTTCCCCCCCCCCCGGGCCATTCCTCCCCCCCCTGTCGTGGTCTCTCAGAGGCCTGGTGGGCCAACCAGCCGAGGAGCAGAACATGGCGTAATCACAAACGTTCGGAGGTCGACGTGGATTTCTCGAATTGGCGCCGGCGCCTCCTGGCGGCGCCCCCGGCGCCGCCCCTGGTGCGCTCCGCGCGCCAGGGAGGGGGGCCCAGCCGCCCAGCGCCGGTCCAAGAAGTCGGAGCGGACCTCGTAGACATCAGGAGCACGGAGGAGCACGGAGGAGCACGGAGGAGGAGGAGGAGGAGGAGGAGGAGGAGGAGGAGGAGGAGGAGGAGGAAGAGGAGGACAAAGGTGAGTGTCGTCACACCTGGCGGGCACCTACTCTCACTAATAGTCTCGCCCAGCGCTCCATCTCTTTCATTTTCCGCGGCGCCCGCCAGGTGTTTTTTTGCCCGAGTCGTTCTGCCATTGCATCCGCCATCATTAACGCCACATTTTCACGCTCAGGTAGGTCTAACGTAAAAAGGAGGAGGATGATGATGATGAGGAGGAGGAGGAGAAGGAGGAGGAGGGGAGGGACTCGGAGAACCTCCGAAAGCTTGGGATTATGCAATTTTGGCCCCTCGAAGCCGGAGCCGTCTCGTCGCGGACCTCGGGAGGAGGCTGCGGGCGGCCATCCACGGGGCCGACGGGCACTTCTGGCCCCAGGCGGACTTCCTCACGCGCGCGGACGGCCGCAGGCTCCCCGTGCAGTACGTCGGCAAGCTTGGCGCTGGGGGACTCGCCGGGGAGCTTGAAGAGAGCACAACCCACCCCCACCCCAAGCCTCAGGGAAGGAAATGGTACCCATACTGCTACCCGTGTCTCGTTTTTTTTTTTTCTCTCTCTCTCTCTCTCTCTCTCTCTTTTTGGGCCTCCTGGGAGGCTCTCGTCGCCACCGCTGCAGTCGCCTCGAAATCCTGGTCAGATCGCACCCCGGCAGAGGTCCCGGGAGTAGCGGTATTGGTACCTTTTGGTTTCCCCATAGTCAGGACCCCCACTCTGGACCTACGTAGGTGATCCAGGGGCCCTGGCTGGGGGCGAGGGTGGCTCTTTGGCCCCCAGGAGCCCCAGCAAACCACATCCACCCACATCGAGCAATAAACAGCTGCATAAGCATACGTCACTCTCGGAGCTCCGCGCAGATTTTTTCTCAGATCGTCTCTGGAGTCCCCCTGGCAGCGATCCAAGAAATCTCCGCGCGGACCTCCGAGAAATGACGTTTATGCATGCAGTTTTCTGTTCCCCTCCCACGGCCAGGACCCCCTGGGCCACCAGGTCGGGAGGGTCCTGTGATGGGCAAATTTTCCACCACCACTGCCAGATGTAGGATGGGGGAGAAGGGAGGATGAGGAGGTCCTCCTCCTCCTCCTCCTCCTCCTCCTCCTCCTCCTCCTCCTCCTCCTCCTCCCTCTCCTACTTCTGGTAGTGGTGGTGGCAAATGGGCCCATCATCCTGGCTGGTGGTGGAGATGGGTTGTGCTGTCCTCGGAGCTGGAGCGCGCCTTCCGGCTGCCCCCAGGGGCCGCGGGCCGGCTCCCGCTCCGGGGGAGCGTGCCCCGCCTGCAGCGCAGGCGCCACGGCCAGCACGCCGGCGCCCCGTACTTCCGCATCGACCCGGCCTTCGTGCCGGCCGAGCTTCAGCTCGGGGGCGGCAGAGAGGGGGGTCATGACCGGGGGGGGGGCGGGTATGCGTGGGCCATGATATTTCCTCAGATTTCATGGCGCCTCTTCTTGTTCCAATACGTCCCTGGCTCCCCCCCTGGGCCGCGCACATGCCGCCGGCCATGATTTGCGCCCACCCCCTTTGGACGCCCCCCTCTTTGGACGCCCCCGATCAGCGGCTGATCTGCGAGATCTACCGCGTCGACTACTGCTGCTTCGGCTTCGCCATCCCAGGGCCCTGCAGGAGGCGCGGCTTTTGCCCCAGGCCAGCGCAGGGGATCGCGCCATGAGAAGCTGCTTTCCCACGTCGCGGCGAGGAGGTCGGCCGATAATCATGAAGCGCGACGAGCACGGCAGAGTGCGAGGGCGATCTCTGGTGAGCATGTGGCGCGTCTGCCAAGCGACCTCGGCTCAGCTCAAGTCAGGAGTCCTGGACGCTGTGCGCTGGAACCTCTGGCACATTCTCTGCTATCCAGCTGCCTGCGGCAAGTCCCGCTACCGTTCCAGCACAGCATTTTCGGTGGTTGCGCGAGGGGAACGGGAGGCCCTGACGTGTGACACCTCGAGCAGCGATCGATGCTCTCACTGCGGCGACGGTTCGAGAAAGCCCAGAACGCCGTCACATGTGACACATCACTGGAATATGGGGGATTCTCGGCCTGTCCCAGGGAGAGCTCTCTGCGGCGACAACTCGGGCGAAGCCGAGATTCGTCACATGTGACACTTTCGCCGTTTCTAGCCCATCTTTGCGTTGCCGTGATTCACTCACGAAGCGAAGTAGGCCGATGAAGCGATGGAAGGATCTGAAGACGATGCTTACGATGACGATGGTGGTGATGGTGATTGATGATCGTGATGATGGTGAGTATGATGAAGTTGATGTTGCTGCTGCTGCTGATGATGATGATGATGATGATGATGATGATGATGAGATTGATGTTGATGTTGATGTTGACGTTGCTGCTGATAATGATGCTGATGCTGATGATGCTGATGCTCACGCTGATACTGACGCTACTGCTGCTGCTGCTGAGGATGCTGATGATGAGGATGATGGTGATGAGTATTGACGAGGAGGAGGAGGAGGAGGAGGAGGAGGAGGGGGAAGAAGAGGAGGAGGAGAAGGAAGAGGCGGAGTAGAACTGTCACATGTGACACTTTTCGGCCTCTCTTCTCGACGAGTTCTCATGGACGTTTTTTGAGCTGTCTTGGTGTTGTACTGGGCTCCTGTGGGGGGGGGTCGTGGGGGGCCTTTGGGGCCGTCTTGGGGCCCTCTTGGGTCGTCTTGGGTCTCGCTTACGACCGCGTGGGCGTCTGGGGGATCTCGGGCCGTCGTGGCGCCGTCTTGTGTCGTCCAGGGGTCATTTTAGGTCGTCGTGGGTCCCTCCGGAGGCCCTCTTGGGCCACTTTGAGGTTCTCTAGAGTTGGTCCTGGGCCTTCCAGGGCCCTGTCGGGCCGTCTTAAGGTTGGTTCGGAGGCCATTGGGGCTCTCTTGGGTCCATTTTCGGTGGTCGTAAGGCTATATTGGAGGCTTCTTGGGCCATCTTGAGTTGGCGGAAGACAGAAGAGGCGAGACTGCGAAAAAATGAACAATCACTCAGTCAGTCAGCCAGTCAGTCAGAAGCCGTATACTTGTAAGACGCCGTCAGTCAGTCAGTCAGTCAGTCAGTCAGTCAGTCAGTCAGTCAGTCAGTCAGTCAGAAGCCGTCAGTCAGTCAGTCAGTCAGTCAGTCAGTCAGGATTCATTATCCAAGGTGTCCTTCTCCAACGCCCGCGCCGCATCCTCCTTCCCGCTTTTTTTTCCCCCCTCGGCGCCAGCAGCGGCTTCGACTGCGACGGGGGCGGCGCCAGCCTCGACCGGGAGGGGTGCGACTGGCGCAGCGGGCGCGAGGACGACGGTTGGAGCGCAGAAGCGGCCGTCTCCGAGTCCGCCCGCTCGCCGTCGCCGCCGCGGCCGCGTCGCCCGACCAGGGCGAGGGGGCCCGATGCCCGATGCCAGCGGGTCGTCCTCGTGAGTTTTCGTCGCTGCGGCTGGAATTCGCCTCGCAATTCCTGTCAGAACGCTCCCCAGGAGAAGGTGCCAGCGGCGTCGGGCATCGGCACCTATCTGCGAAGTCGCCGCATGGAGGGCCGATCGGGCGGAGGCCGCCGCGCGCCTCCGGGCCGCGCGCGCGGAGCGGCGGGCGGCCCGGGCGCGGCTGACGGCGGCGGCGTGGCCAGCGCGGCGGGGCGCGGCGGGGCCGACCGCCGTTCAGCGGCGCCAGCCGGCGGGGCGGCGGCGGCGGGCGCGGGGGGCGGAGGCGGGGAAGAGGGCGGCGGCGGTGCGATGCCGGCTGACGCGGGAGGTGAAGGCGATTTGGCGGCGGCAGGGGCGGTGGGCCGATTTTCCATTACCACTGCCGGAAATAGGAGGGGGAATGGGGGGAGGAGGCGGACCTCTCCTCCGCCCCCCCCCCTCCTCCCCCGCCCCCTCCTGCTCGTGGCAGTGGCGGCGGGGATGGGCTCATCGATTGGGCCGCGGGCGGGGCGCGCGGCGTCCATGCTGGCGGCCGTGAGGACGCGGGCGGGCCCGCGCTCGCGTTCCCCCTCTCCTCGCTCGTTGTCTTCCTTCTGGGCCCCCGACAGGTCCCTGGTCAGTCTGCGCGGGTTTCTCGGGTCTCGACGGTTGCGTCCAGGGGGAAGCGAAACGCGATGACCGACGTTTGGGAGGCGCGCTGCGTCGTGCCGCCGCCCAGCCCGCCCCCCACGCAGCGCGTCGCGCGCTGCCCTGGCGGGGGGTCGGTCGGCAGGGCGGCGCAGCGCGACCCCCGACCGTCGATAATCGCGACTCGCGCGTCGAGGCCGGGGCCGGAGAGCTGCCTTCTCGAAGGTGGCCTCGCGAGAGCGCGAGGGCAATCGTGCTGCGCGCTTCCTTATCTCATGGGTTTTGGTGCTCGTCAGTTTTGCCCGGGGAAACGCTGGGTTCCGCGGCCGAGGAATCGAGAAGCCTCCTGGGGATATTCAGATTTCGGCTTCTCGTGGAGGGTTTCTCGCGGGTGCTTTCTTGCGGGGGCTTTCTTGCGGGGCGGGGTCGGCCGTTGTTCCCGGCGGCCGAGCGTCGGTTTCAGTTCCGCGCCGCTGTAGTCGCTGCGGTCGCGCGGACTCGAGCCCCGGCCCTTTCCTCATCCCGGCCCTCATCATCAGCCAGAACCCCCTCGCCCCGCACCTCGCCCTGTCTCCGCCTCGCCCTGCCGCTGGCAGAATGAGCAATCTTATTGCGTCGAATCAAATTATCCGACAACGCGCGCGCAGACGCGCGCCGCGGCACCTCAGCGCGGGGAACTCGCAGAACAACATGGCGCGGAATGCCCAGCAAGCGCCTCGAGCGTCTGCAATGGAAGGCGCCGAATCGCGCTCTGCCCGTTTATAACAAGCTCTACGGATCCAATGGGCCAAGCAGTCTATCCAAGCCGCAGCCGCTTCGTTTTCAATCGAAGCTCGGCCCCGCAGTTTCTGCGCTTGTCTGAATGTCTCTGTCGCTCCACTGATCCTCCGCGCGAGCTCGCGCGATGCTCTCCCGTCGCAGGGGGGCGGCCCACCGCGGTGAACTGCCCCTTATAGCGAATTTATGCTTCTCGCCGGATGGCGGGGGAATAGCGCCTTGAGTTCACGTCGCTCCTTCGGTTGCGATCGACAGCGACGTCTTCTGGACATTGCCCCCGTATCTCGACGCCAGCTGCGCGTCGTCGGCGCGCGACATTTTGCGGCCCGCGACGCGCAGATATTCAGGCCCCAAGTCAACGTGCAACAGCGCCATGCAACGCAATACTGTTAATCACCATGGACACATCCGGTGATGGCGGGCATCCCCGTGCGATCCCAGCCCGCTGCTGCCCTCCGTGCCCTCCCGCTGCTGCTCTCCGAGGAGTGCCAATCGCTTTGACCATCCCTGCTTGGGGGCTCATGCCGAGCAAGAGCATCGCGCGTGCAGTCGGGCTTCACTCTGTCGAACGCCTTCGCCAAACCCCTATGGCGGTAGTCTGATCCCTCCATTTTTGCGAACGCGCGCGGCATCTATCATGCGTCTCGCCAGCATGAGCGCATCCAGCGCTCGGCGTCCGAGGCGGATCCAAAGCTAGAGTTCCTCGTCCTTCGCTTTGTTCCTCCACCAATGAGCCTATGAGGTACGATTGAAATAAAGACTGCATCCCACCGACAGTGGCGAAAGTGGGCTGTAGTTTCGAGGTGAAGCAGCATTCCGCTTCTTGAGCAATAAAACTACGTTCGCTCCCCCCCCCACCATTGTGGATCGCCTTTTGGCCCCATCATCGTTGACGTGCATCGAGCGATGACGTCGCGATCGGCGGGCCAGACGCTGCAATTTCCCAAATTCTGGCGGTGCTCCATCTGGGCCTGCTGCTTTCCCTCATTGAAGCTCCTGCAGTACTTTGCTAACTTCCTTTGCGGTGAATTGCCCGTGTGACTTGGGGGTGTCTCCCCGAGGCGCGCCTGGCGCGTCGGCCGGTCTCCGGTAAATTTCTATTCCCACTTGCGTCCCCAAAGTGTATGCTATGGCGTCGGCCCGTTGTGTTGTGTCAGATAAAATGCCGTCTGGTCGTTGAATGGCATGCTTGCTTCGCTGTCTCCGTTTTCCGTAGACATCGGGCTGCGCCCCTACCGCGCGTCGTTTTCCAAGTAATCGGCAATATGTGTTTTGCCAGAAGTTCTGATTTGTTCGTTTGTTTTCTGGGTCGACGATGCATGTCCCGCTCTTCAACAAAGTCCGCCGCCGTCTGGCTTATCCACGGTTGTTTCGCGTTTCTCGTCTTCGCTTGAAGAGTGCGCGTTGCGTGGGGAGTCGGCTTGCAGGGGGGGGCGGGCGCGGGGGGGGCGCCAACGATCGCGCCGATTCCATCGCGGCCCGCTGCCCCTTCCCGGGACTCTCAGGAATCCTCCGGGCCCAGTCGGCCTCGCAGTCGGCGCCGGCGTCGCGTCGCCCGCGAGCGCCAGCCGGCGGGCGGGCCGACCTTGTTGCGCATGTTCGGCGCGAGAGACCCGCGCGGGCCTCGCGCTGCGCCCGCGCCCCAGGGCGACGGCCCAGGCCACTGTAGCCTCCCGCGCTGACGCGATGGCCTCGCGCGCGGCGCAGGAGCGGGCGCCGCCGACCGTTCGGTTCGGTTCCGCGCGCTTCTCATGCGAGAACGCAAAGCCCCCATGCTGCGCGCTATGCGCGCTGAGCAGTGCGATGCAGTTGCGACGGCCGCGCGTTAAATTGGAAACCGCAACGCAAGTTTCCATTGCCGCGCGCGGGGCGGGGCATGAACTTGCAGATGCGCCGACGGTCGAGAACTCGCGCGCGCGCCCGCGCATGCCATGTTGGGCGCGCGCACTGGGCCCGGAAATCTGCGGCTCGGCCGCCCGATGCGCGCCAAGAATCGCTCCGCCTCCCCCCCCCGCCCCCCTCCCCCTCAAAACTCTTCCGCGCTCC